TTTAACTGCACCGGGCGGAGCCGGGTATGCCAGCTAGTGTGATATGTACACCAAGATCTATTAACACATTGTCGCACCTTGAGTTAATTCTGGCTTTCTCAGGAATAGTCTTTCGAAATTCATGTGAGGTAAGTTACTTCTTGATCAATATTCTAGGCGTTACAAGAAGTTAGTCAAAAACGTACTCCCATGCAATTTCATCCGCGCACAGTAAAGCTTAGGGTATCTAACTAAACCCTGCAATTTCCAGTTGTATGCACTAGCATCAGGCTACGCAATTGCTAGAAGGCTTGGAAGAACGCTGTACTATCCAACGGATGGCAGCGACAAATTTTTATGCTATCTTGAGCTTATATCTCACGTGTTTCCGAGAACCACCTCCGTATATACAATTATACCAGTAAGTCGGCATTCTGTTACTTTGACAAGTATCGTAAATTCTTTCTTGTTTTTGTATATCCTGAATAAATGGTAGGTAGGTTCTTTTATAGATAAAACACGTGGAGTTGACGATAGTTCCGTTTGCCACCGATGAACAAGGTCTTCGAACATGTTGTCGCTACGATGATCCGACAAGGTTCGTAGTAACTGCATTCACTAGTAAATTATCTCAAAGCAGACGTTTCTCCGTAAAGATTTATAAACCATCCTGCGAAGTTCCTTCTACTCAACCATAGTTTCGCTCAAAACGCAAGATACATGGAAAGCTATATTGATGGAATACGGCAGTTATTCTTGTTTTCCGACGGGGTCCACATCCAGATGCAACGCATACTGCGTCAACTTAATTTGTGAGAGTTTTGCTTGTATTTTTTCAATCTTGTATTTGGTAATTTCGTAGCGATTAGTGCACTGAGCGAAGAGCCAAACAAACGTATTTAAATGTAGTTGCAGTCACATGCCAAGAATCGCTTCATTGGAAATTCTATTCAGGGGGGATGCAAGCGACTTCATGTGTGTGCATATTCGTAGATCCGATTATCTGGACTTCGGCGTAAATTCAGACCTTCCCAGCACATTGCGCGCGGCAGAAGACATTGCTGCAAAAAAGGTACGCCGGAGTCCGAATTTGAAGTTTAGAAAGTAAGCGTTCAAAGCATAGAGAACTTTGGATGACAGGGAGGGGATGAGGATATACAGAGTGCGCCAAAATTACCGGCGCGTGTTTCTCTGGGTGCAAGAAGACTACAAGACGGGCTTGAGCAGATTAAACATGCATCTGTTTTCACCAACCACATCATCGTAATAGAGTAGTCAAATCAGAATTTGGCTGCTTCATCTTCTGAAAAAAACTCTAATCTTTCGTCAGCTGAAGTGCACTTTGTACGCAGGCACAACTTAGAGAACTTGTACAATATTTTCCTGTAAACATTTTCTCTTGCTTTGGAATTTCGAACTAAGGTGGAGCAGATCTCTGCCTCTAACGTTGAGCAGGTTTTGTAGAGTTTGATCAGTACATTTTATGACATGAATTTGAGCCTATGTTCTCCAGTGGCTAGTTGTTAGCAACGGTGCAAATTTTGGCGGCGGTAATTTTGGCGCACCCGTAGATGTTAGACATTGTTTCTTGTTTGTAGGATCCAATTTGACTCGATACGTTAAGAATCTCACAAACTACCTCATTTTTGGTGATGACAAGAAATTCATGGAAAAGCTGGCACTTCTTCTATCAACAAATAATTCTGGTCAAGAGAGGGTAACGTCATTACAACTTTTCTCCGTTATTTACAAACATGTTTAGGTTGTACGTAGTTCGACATTTCCCGAGATTACCGATTTCTACGTGGCTCATCGTTTCTGCAAAGCATTTTTCATGCGCGTTCCCACATCGACATTTGCTTGGTGGTTAGCGTTTTTCTCACGTGACCAAGATTCGATATTCTACTATCAGAACCACTTGGTAGATGAAGGTTTGAAGCCCGACTTTCACTTGTGAGTTCACTTTTTTGCGCTTCAAGAATGAAAAAAAAGCAAGCTAGTCACTCATAGGAGAGCATGGCATCCATATGAAATAGATCCTTTCGACGTTGATTGCAACGCTGTTGGATCAAAGCTTCCTTTATTGCTTATACTCATTTCTTGGTGTGTGACGGTGTTCTGAGAATTGGTGAGTTTATCTTCAAGTCTGGTGCTCCAACTTCGAGAATAAAACTTGAGCTAAGATTTTATAGCATTCTTTTTACTGGAGGGCGTGCAAGATCCTCAGGCTCCCCGCTTCTTCTTCAGGCGCAGTCTCGGGAGGTATTATTCACTTCGCACCTACCTAGCA